TTTTAAAATATGTTGGACATTCTGACTGGATGTGTCCAAACCCTTTGCACTCGTAGCACTGAATTCCTTCAGGTTTTAGACTCTCCCTTCCTTTTGAAATAGATTGATTTTGTCCCGTTGGGAAGTTCCCTTGATTGATTGAAGCACTTTTCGTTCTAAATTTGTTGAATTTTTTGAGAACTCTGTTGAAATTATTTGTTAGGAGAGCAATTGATTGTTCCATGGTTTCAGTATCAATTTCTGGACTCTCTTTCTGCTTTGATTGGAGCGCAATTCCTTTGTCATTATTTTTCCCTTTTTGCAGTATCTCAAGCTCATATGTTTGAAGATTTCTCATTAGATCACTGAGTTTGTAGGTGTTTAGATCTTTGTTTTTTTGGATGGCTGTAACCTTTATCATAAATCTCTCAGGTAGGGAACGTAGGACCTTTTTGACGAACCTAGGTTCAGGAATAGGTTCGCCTAGGTTAAACGCATCTCCAGCGATCCCTAAAACTCTTGCACTAAACTGTGAGATATCCTCATCTTCTTCCATTTTTAAATTCTCAAACTGTGTTTGTATCATTTGCAGCTTGGATTGCTTAACAGAAGTATTTCCTTCGTGATGATCACATAGTATATCCCATGCAACTTTAGCTATGCCAGTGGTAGCGATTAGTTTGAAAGTATCTTCACTTACCGCTCCATAGATGGCATTCATTGCTTTTGAATTGTAATTATATTCCCTTCGCTCTTCTTCGTTCCATTCTGTTTTAGGTTTTTGATTACCTTTATCATCAACTGGATTCTTCCATTCTTTCTCAACGGCATCCCAAACTCCTTCTCCTTGTGCCAAAATATAGATTTTCATTCTAGCTTTCCAGTAGGAGAAATTTGTACCAAAGAGAGCAGGGGGCCTGGTGCTTGACAGTCCTTCTCTGGGAAACTCCATTAGGATCCTGCTAATAACTTAAGCAGTTTGGCTCTGATACCAATTGAAAATTTGTAAAACGCAGCACCGAAACTGAAATTGTAACACAAACAATTTGTAACGCAGTTCGGGCAAATAACCCTAATCTGCGAGGCACTTCTCAATTTGAGAACTTGCCTAAATCCACTAAAAGCTCAATATTTAAAGTACACTGTTTGGAACCTGAGATTACACAATAAAATGATCTTTCCTACCAAACTATTGAAACCTAAACACATGTACTACTTTCTAGGGGAATTTAGTATCCTATTCTCAAAGACTCTCGTACCTCACAAGATTAATGTTGAATGCTTGAGATCTACAATAAAGGACATCCCCTATTTATAGTAGCTATTCCTAACAGATTCGTGAATAACAAACTATTCCTAATCAAAATAGAACTAGAAAATCTTCAACAACAAATCCCCTTAGAACTAGTATTCTTCAATAACTATTCCTCTTAGTACTGATATTCCTTTATAGAACTGGAATTCTTTTTGCAAATAACTTTGACAAAATACTTTGAGTCAACAAAGTATATCTAAATTTTGCTCTTACTTATAAGTTATCACACAAAAATCATCTGATGAGTTATTTATGCAGATAAATATAACTAAACTTTGCCCTTACCTAGTTACCTATAATTGAACTTGATTCACCCTATGAGAGTCTAAATGACACCTAGCCTAAAAGTAACCAAATGACGAATTCGAAGGACTTCCTAAATTCAATTTTATTGGGTCAAACTTGATAAGACTTGGAAAACAACTCCAACAACGTAACTATAATACTAAAAAAAAAAACAAGGAAAACGAGCGATAATAGGGGGCAATCGTACCAGTTAAGTTAGTCTAGTAATTGATTTGGTAATCATATATTCACATGATTCAAAATGTATCATATGAAAGGAAAATGAGTAATAATCGGGTAAAACATGTTACCAAGTAAAGTTGGTCTGGTTATTGACTTGGTAATAATATGGTTTCAAGTTTAATTCTTAGTAAGAGCGACCTATTACTTGTTTACCCATTGCTCCCCATTAGTACTATATATTCGCTACTAACTATAGTTTTGAGCATAGTAGTAAATGTTTAATCATGCGAAATATGAGGATTCAAGAGTGGACATCACATATATTTGTACCACAAAATAGTCACTTACAATGCCATTTTTGTTATTTTTTTCAATAGAAAATATAGAAGATGATAATAAGTAAAAGAATATGATAATCCAGTGACGGACCTAGAAAATTATCTAAGTGGAAGCGAATATTAAATGACGTTACAAATGTCAATGACAAAATATCAAATAACCAAAATAAGGTTAAAATACAAAATACATTATAAATTACAATATATTTATGAGACATAATCAATTAGATTAAATTTTAATTTCTTTTAGTTAGATCGATTTTTCTAAATTAATTCGAATACAATAAAGTATATTATAAACTTGTATACTATATTAATTAAATGATTTATAAAAACTAGACTAAAAGAGCATTTAATTTGTTAATTAAATTATTCATAAAAAGTAGACTAAAAACATTTAATTTATCTTGTGAAAAAATGAAAGAGAGGAGATAATTAAAAATGTTGCTAACGGAAAATGCATTTTTAGTCTCTCAATTGTTCCTTACTAGCCATTTTACCATTGCAATATACACCTCTAACTTTTCAAAAAAAAAAAGTTATAATTTTAAGAGCAACAAAACTATAAAACTCTATTAAAATTTTACTTAGTACATGTGTATTTAAAATTTTATTATTGTTACTCATTATAACTTTTTCAAATTTGGTATTTGATCTGCAAAATAGAGAACTAACAACCTTCTTCTATAAAATTTTCCTCTTTAACTATGGTACATCGTCCTTATTTTCCCTACTCAAACTTGTTAAAATCAAAATTTTTATTTTGCAAAAAAAAAAATATTGAGACTAAAGAAAGATTATAATTAATGAAGAAACATTAAAAACTACTAAAATACACATGTACTAAGTAAAATTTAATAGAGTTTGAATAGTTTTGTTGCTCCAAGGTAGGGCTATAAACGAATCGAACACAAAAGAACAGAGTTTGTTCATATTTGTTTGTTAAGATTTGTAGAGCATTCGTGTTCGTGTTTATTTGTTAATGTTTTGAAAATCATGTTTGTACGTGTTCGTTTGTTAATCGTTTGTTAGTATTTATTAATGTTCGCGAACATGTTTATTTGTTTGGTCAATTATGTGTTTCTGAACAACCAAACAACTTTGTTCATGAATGCTAAACAAACAAACACGTGTACATGTTCATGATCATAAATTGTTCGTGAATAAGAAATAGTCTTTGTTCATTAATAAAAAATAAACAAACAACACAACAACTATAATAATAATACAAATAACTCCAAAAGTAACATTTAATATCAAAGTAAAAAAGCGAGTTTGTTCATGAATATTATTAAATGAACAATAAACGATATGATATTGTTCACACGCTCTTAGCAAACGAGCATACAAATGTTCAGACTCTATTCGTTTATTGAACGAACAGTATAATTTGTCATTTTATTTTCGTTTACCTTAATAAGCGAATATAAACAAATATTTACCGAACACAAATGCAAGTAGTTTACTGAAAGCTTTGTTGCTTACCCTCCTACCGTCTTACTCTAGTGGCATGTTTGGTTCATGGAATAGGTCAGGAATGGAATAACATTCCTTGGAATAGACCTATTTCATCGTTTGGTTGGATCATTTTGTCATGGGAATAACATTCCTAGGAATGAGCTATTACCTTCGCAAGGGGAATAGCCATTCCTAGGGGGGGGGGGGGGGGGGGCTTGGTATTCGCTATTCCCATGCCCTTGGGAATAGCTTTTATATCACAAATACGAAAAATATACTTTGCACATTATATAATATTTATATTTATTTAATGACTATAATGTACTATATAAATGTATATATTTAACTAATTATTTATGTATCAATCTATCAATAAATATATATTTCAATATATATATATATATATATATATATATATATATATATATATATATATATATATATATATATATAATTAACTGTATAAGACTCCTTAATTATGGAGCCTTGGCTCCTAAATTAAGTAGTCTGCCCATCTGCATGCCTAGAGGATGGGAATTGCAAGCTTGCCTAGCAAATGAGTATTGCAATTGAAATTATGGAGCCTCCTTCTATAGGAGCCTCAAGGCTCCATTCCTCACTCCTCCAACCGATGTGGGATAAGTGGGAAAATAAATATAAATATAAATATGTATTTGTATAATAATAATAATAATAATAATTATTATTATTATTATTATTATTATTATTATTATTATTTTTATTATTATTATTATTATTATTATTGTTGTTGTTATTCTCTCTCACACACACATGCATATACATGTATGTATATAAGTATATACATACATACATACATATATATATATATATATATATATATATATATATATATATATATATATATATATATATATTATTTTGTATAAGGGTATTTATGTCTTTAAAACCTATTCTATTTCTATTCCTTTAACCAACCAAACACTGGAATACAATTACTAAAGTCTATTCCTTCCACCAACCAAACAATAGAATACAATTCCTATTCTATTCATTACCTATTCCATTCCTTGTGGAATAATATTCCTATTCCCTCCAAATTCATTACGTGAACCAAACGTGCTATAGATGTTAAAATTAAGGTGTAACTTTTTTGAAGAGTTAAGTGTATATATTATAACTACAAAAAGTTAGAAACGAGACTAATTAAACAACTAGTAAAGAATAATTGATGGACGAAAAATAAATTTTTTCTACCTAGAATTTTCTTGTGAATCACATAGCATTTGAATTGACTCGTGGAGTCATGGCTGTTGTTTTGGTCCACTTTGGCCTTCAATTGTTGAGAATGCAGTAGTTCTACGTCTTGGTCACGGCTTAACTACTGGCAATTACAAAATAAGAGATAAAGAAAATCATTTCGTTTTGCGCTCTAAAATCATATCATGTTTGAGCACTCCAATTCTTCGCCGGTGAAGTTAACAAGCCATCGAAGTTTCGATCTGTACCAATGACGGAGGCTGCTGTAACGTTTGTATTGGACCAACTCTCAGTGCTGATCCGTGAAGAGTACTCGCTCTTGGGAGGGATTATATTAGAGATGATGCGCAAGCTTTCCATCGTTTGACGGCAGTTTTGAGAGTTGCAGACGAGAGGGAAGAAATTGATCCTCAAGTTCAAGCATGGGTGAAGATAATTCCGGAGCTGGTTTATGACACTGAAGATGTTCTTGACGAATTCCAGTTCCGCTTTGGAGGTAGCCGGACCAATGGAGGGTTGCACAATAGGATCAAGAACAAATACACTTCCGTCAAGAACTTGAGAGCTCGGCGAAGGCTTGCTCTTGAACTGCGAAGGATCAAGGCTAGAGTCAACAACATCTCTCAGGAACAGCCAAGGTTGTTGTTAACAACCTCTGATCACACTATGCACAACAGCAACAAAAGGGTGTATGATGGCCGAAGGGATGCCCTTTTGCTAAAAGACTCGGATCTGGTAGGCAGGGGCGGAGCCAGGATTTATTGGTGCCGGGGGCCAATCACAAAAGAGAGGATCCAATCGTCACCGCTCGTAGCCCAAGTTCACCGCGGTTGTCATCATCAACTCAACTAAGAAAACGAAAGAGAGGATTTAGCTACCATTTAATTACAATATCTAGACTTTTTGTTGGGGCGAGGATTGATGAATCCATCTCAAATATAGAATAATTCGTTAAAAATCCAAAGATTTAAAGAATAAAAAAGAAATGAAAAATTACCTATAGACTTCAGCTTGAAAATTGAAGCGAAATTACGTGTGTATTTGTTGTGCCTATCCGGTTTGGATGGTTTGAATATAAAACATACCTTAGAAGCTTTTTGGTCAAAGTACTTGCGAGGTCCCTGTACTATAACGTTTTGTTTAATGTAGTCTTTATACCTTTATTTTGTTCAATTTAGTCCATGTAATTTTAAAAAGTGGTGCAATTAAGAACAATAGTTAATGGTGTTAATGTTACAGTTAACATAGGTTACATGGCGGCTGACAATATTTATAATCCTACTCATTTATTACATTATAGATATTTAAAATTAATTATTTTTACCACCAATATATTAAATTAGTATGTCCAAAATAAATAAGTATAACCATGTTTCTAATGAGATTTGGACAATTGTCCGTAATTTCACCACTTTTTAAAGTAGAGGGACTCAATTGAACAGAATAAATGTACAAGCACTAAAATGAACAAAACACTATAGTTCAGGGACTTCATAGACATTTTGACCAAGCTTTTTTGAATGGAGAAAATATTTTGATGAGGCGCCATAAAATAACTAAATAAAAAAAATTTGGGAGGCCAAGCCCCCCTTGCTGCTTCTCTATACTACGTAGTAATAAAAAAGAAGAAAATTTGAGGGGGGGGGGGGGGGGGGGGGGGGGGCAAGGCCCACTGGAGCTCTCAGGTGGCTCCGCCCCTGCGAGTGGTAGGTATTGACAATCCAAAGTTTTCTCTTGTTAATCGCCTACTTGCTGTAGATAAAGTTTTGAGAGTCCATTATGTAGTGGGTATGGGGGGATTGAGGAAAACTACCTTGGTTAAAAAGGTTTTTGATGATGCACGAGTGGTAAATCACTTCCAGCGTCGTGTGTGGCTTACAGTTTCTGAAACTTTTGATGTTGATGAGTTGCTAAAAGATGCAATTCGGCAGATAATAAAGCAAACCAATCAACAGCTCCCTCAAGATTTTGTAGCCATGAACTCTGATAAGTTGAAAGAATTCATCAATGACATTCTTTCAGGCCAATCATATATCATTGTTTTGGATGACATATGGAAGGGTTCTGCTTGGATGGAATTCAAATATGTTTTCCCTCGTCAAAGTTTTGGTAGCCTTTGTCTACTCTTTAGAGCCTTTGTCTCCTAAAGATTCATGGATTTTGTTTTGCAAAGAGACATTCTTAGATGGTTCATGTCCTCCACACTTGGTGAACATTGCTAAAAACATCTTAAAGAGATGTGATGGTCTACCCCTAGCGATTGTGGTGATAGCTGGGGTGTTGGCTACAAAGAGTGCGAGCATTGAAGAATGGGAAAGATTCCAGAAGAGTCTCAACATCCAAATGGAAATCAATAATTGGATGAAGAGCATGAAGAATCTACTTTCCCTCAGTTACTATGATCTTCCATATTATCTCAAGTATTGCTTTTTATACTTGAGCATCTTTCCTAAAGATGTTATCATAAACAAAAATATAGTGATTCGACTATGGATTGCAGAAGGATTTGTTAGGGAAAACAACCAACAAGTAAAAGAAGAAGTTGCTGAATCATATCTCACTGAATTACTTCATCGAAACTTAATTCAAATTGTAGAGAAGACTAACAATGAAAGGATGAAGGGCTTTCGAGTGCATGATATTTTGCGAGAAGTTATTCTTTCCAAGTCAGTAGAGCAAAACTTTACAATCATTGTCACTGGGCAAAACACAGAACCTTCCAACAAGTATCGACGCCTAGCAATCCATAGGTTTGATGACCAGATTTTGAAGTTCACTTCACCAAAAATGCATCTTCGCTCTTTACAATTCTTTGAACCACTTTCAAGCTCAGCGTCATCTTCATTGTCCAAGATCTTTACTGCCAAATATATTCCTTTAAAAGTATTGGATTTAAGGGGCACTAGTACAACAAACATCAATAAAATCGAATAATTCGCGTCCAAAGTTTGAACTTTGGACGCCTAAAGTGTAGTGCGGTGGCATTTTGTAATTAAAATGCCACTATATAATTTATTTTTTATTTTTTTTGAAATTAAAAAGATTAGGCGTCCAAAGTTATAGAACTTTGGACGCCTATTATCGCGCGTTATTTTTTAAAAAATAATCGGCGTCCAAAGTTGTATCACTTTGGACGCGCTCATGCTTTAAAAAAAAAATTTTTAATTAAATATTTATGCCTTTTTTCTCTCAAAATATTCTCGCCTCTCTCAGGCCTCTCTTCTCTCTGCGACGGAGAAGCTCTCCAGAGCTCAAGAGCTTGCGACGGTTTCGTTGTGTCTTCTCTGCCGGAATCGCGTCTGTAGCAGAGTAATATGTCTTCTCAGATTTGTCTTACCCCGCGCCTCTGAACATTTTTTTCCCGCTCCGACTAAAACCCTAACCGAGAGAGATGGGACGAAGAACCTAAGAATCGACGTCGAATTGCATTCATAACCGGTGAGTCACTCAGCTACAATTGACTTTGCTTAGCTCCATTTCCTTCCCCTCCTGCGTTTTGTTGCTCTCTGTTCTCACTCTTCACTCTGACCTTTTTGTTCAAATTTCTTCTGCTTAGATGATGGAATTGAAGCTATGGACTGCATCGATATATATTTGGGTACGAATTCGTCGTTAATCAGTACCAATTTATAGTTTTTGAGGTGTTATTACAATTTTGAATTCAAAAAATATGTTTATTTGTATTAACGATACTCAGTCACTAGTAATTTGTTCCAATTTTTCCTACATCGTGAGGAACTATGAGAAGGATTCTCGTTGTTTCGAGTAGTGAACCTAGGATCTGTTCGTTGTATAATATGTCACTTGGGATTGAACTCAAATGTCATATTGTATAATATGCCCCACCTTTAATATTTCATGTTTTTCCACTAAATTTGTGAAATGAATTATGCAGATTAAAGTCTGGGTTAATGTGATATCTTTTCATGCATATGCTGATATTTCTTTTGAGAGTTCTTCAGATGTAAGTATTTCTTTTCCTATTTATTGGCATCTGGAAATCCACTCTGAAAGGGAAGAACTAGTGTTTGAGCCTAAGTCCATTGTGTTTCAAGAATGGAACTGGGGAAATTATTCCTTTGATTTTAACTGGCTATTGAATTACTAAATTAAACAATCCTAATCTTTACTATATTACTTGTATGTAAGCCTCGCATTATTGTCTATGTTTCATCACCCTTACACTTTTCATAATATACATGCCACACACTAAGCAAGAGGTAAACACTGATTTTTCCATAAATGAGATAGTATTCCTATTGCAATTGCAAGAAAGAACCAGCGGCTTTCCTCTTCTTGCATGCATGGCTTATTACATTTTACGCATGGCTGATTATAAACATTGCATGCATGAGGTTGCATCAGGTTATGAGAGAAAGGAAATAAGCTTTCTTTTGGGAGATACAGAGGCCACTGCTGGTGTCCTTACGGTTGTTCATTCTTTTTCTAATTTTTCTACTAAAAACTAATCTAGCTAGTATGCTACTTATCAGCTGTTGTGATTTGCTAAAGATTATTATTTGATCTGGATTGTAGCACTTTGGACTGAAAGCGGATCAAGCACCTGTAATCTTAATACAGTCCAATGATGGTTACAGGAGGGGAAGTTGAAGCCATATATAAAATCAGAGCCTATTCCCGAAGTCAACAATGAGCCAGTTAAGGTGGTTGTTGCTGATAACCTGGAAGATTTCGTGTTTAACTCGGGGAAGAATGGTGTGTATCTAGACCACTAGTTCAGTTGGAGGATATGCATTGTTGCCTTTAGTAAGGATCAGAAAAGAATTATATATATAAATATGTTTTGTATTGTTACAGTTCTGATAGAATTCTATGCACCCTGGTGTGGCCACTGCAAGAAACTGGCTCCAATCTTGGATGAAGTTGCAGTTTCATTCGAGAATGACCCTGATGTCACGATTGCAAAAATGGTAAGAAATTTTCATCCTTGAAAATTGTGTTTGTTACAGAATGTGGAAGCTAAATTCATTTCCATTTGTCATATTCCTAGGATGCAACTGCAAATGATATCACGAGTAATAGATTTGAAGTTGAAGGGTTCCCAACCCTATACTTCGTATCTGCAAGTGGTAACTTGGTCCATATGAAGGGGATAGATCAAAAGAGGACTTTATTGACTTTATCCAGGAAAATAGTGATATACGTAGCAATACAGACTCTGCTGCATCAAAAGAACCAGCCAAGGATGAGCTCTGATCTGAGGA